AGAACTGTATAAACACCTACAAAAACAGAAAAATAAATGCAAAATGCATTTAACTGTAAATTTGGAAAGGGATCAGTGATCTGAGAAACAACGTGGGGTAAGCTGTAAGAGAAAGTGGCTTATACCCACAAGCTAGGAACTGAATGCTCTTTTCCTCCTCTGCAAACAGAGGGGAGCTGAAATCAATGGATCCAACCTGGAAAAGCTGGTTCCACAGCACAATCCCCCAGACCTGATGGAAGCAGGCCTTCCACTTGCCAGGGAACTGTCCAGCAAAACAAAAATAAACTCTGAAAAAAGCATAGTATCAGTGCTGAATGACAACTAGTTTACAACACATGACAGACCACCTTAAACTTCTGTATGGCTTTTGATGTGGTACCACACAACATTTTGATTGAAAAACTAGAACAAAATAAAATTAACATGGCACACGTTAAATGGATTAAAAACTGGCTAACTGATAGGTCTTAAAATATAACAGTAAACAGGGAATCATCATCAAGTAGATGTGTTTCCAGTGGGATCGCGCAGGGATAGATTCTTGGCCCTAGGCTATTTAACATTCTTATTCATGACTTGGAAGAAAACACATAATCGTCACTGATAAAGTTTGCAGATGATACAAAAATTATGGGAGTGGTAAATAATGAAGAGGACAGGTCACTGATTCAGAGCAATCTAGATCACTTGGTAAGCTGGGTTCACGCAAACAATATGTGTTTTAATACACCTAAATGTAAATGTATACATCTGAGAACAAAGAAATGTAGACTATACTTACACAATGAGGGACTCTATCCTGGGAAGCGGTGACTCTGAAAAAGATTTGGGGGTTGTGATGGATAATCAACTGAATATGAGCCCCCAGTGTGATACTGTGGTGAAAAGAGCTAAATAAGATGTATAAATAGGGGAATCTCAAGTAGGAGCAGAGAGGTTATTTTCTCTCTGTATTTGGAACTGGCGCAACTGCTGCTGGAATTCTGGGTCCAGCTCTAGCACCCACAATTCAAGAAGCATGTTGATAAATTGGAGAGGGTTCAGAGAAGAGTCGTGAGAATGATTAAAGGATTTAAAAAATCTGTCTTATAGTGATAGACTCAATGAGTTCAATCAATTTAGCTTAACAAAGAGAAGGTTAACAAGTGACTTGGTTACAGTCTATCAGTATCTACATGGGGAACAAATATTTAATAATGGGCTGTTCAATCAAGTAGAGAAAGGTATTTCTAACTGGAAATAAAGGTGTAAATTTTTAACAGTGAGGGCAATTAACCATTGGAACCATTTACCAAGGGTGATGGTGGATTCTCCATCCATTTTTAAATCAAGATTGGGTGTATTTCTAAAAGATCTGCTCTAGGAATTATTTTGGAGAAGTTCAATGGCCTGTGTTATCCAGTAGATCAATGGTCCCCAAACTGTGGGGAGTCCCCCCACCCCCCGGAGGAACGTTCGGGGGGCGCAACAGGGCCCAGATCAGCTTCCATGGGGGCAGAGAGGGAGCGCATGCCACCCAGCTCCGCTCTGCTCCCAACCCTGCCCCTAGCAGCGGCCCTGGCTCCCCCCCGCATCTTGGCCCCCAGCCACAGCTCTGCTCCCGCCCCCAGACATGGCCCTGCTCCCAGCCCCAGACTCGCCCCAGCCTTGGCCCCCTTACTGCTGTTCATGCTCTGCCTCCCTCAGAGTCACAGCCCCGCTCCCAGCCCCGACTCCTGGAGGGGGGGGCACAGACAGGAGTAAAGGGGGGGCATGACGTGGTTTGGGGACCACTGCGCTAGACGATCACAATGGTCCCTTCTGGCCTTGGAATCAATGAATCTCCTCCCTGACTTTAACTAGCAATGTCAAAAGCCAACGTCAGATGTCTAGAAGCCTGTGAGTAGTCCAGTGCATTTACTCGTGTGTGTTTGCAGAACTTTCTCAAGACATTTATTAAATGTGACAGGCCAAATTCTACTCTCAGTGACATATGTGCAGCAAAGCTAAAATTCAACTGCCCCTCCCATACATCTGGCAGATACATTTTCTCATATAATGGATGGAAAACAGGGCTGTGCACATGCAACAAAGTAGAATTTGGCTGCATGCATGTACCCAGGAATGTGCAGTGACAAGTCTAGAACTCACATTAACACATCACTTTAATGACCCCTTAAAAGCAGTGAACATGCTGCAATATGCCAGTTAGCAACCCAAGACAAATGCCACCATAGAACAAACACAAGGGCCCTGTCTAGCTAACAAAAGAATGTTTTTTTCAATCCATCTAGCTCTGTCAAGGCTGCCTTAGGTGGGAGTCTTAACTGTTAAACTGTCTCTCTAGGGGTGTTAAACTGTCTTTCTAGTGGTGGGGGACGGATAGCTCAGTGGTTTGAGCATTGGCCTGCTAAACCCAGGGTTGTGAGTTCAGCCCTTGAGAGGGCCACTTAGGGATCTGAGGCAAAATCAGTACTTGGTCCTGCTAGTGAAGGCAGGGGGCTGGTGGAGGATTCCACTCACTTGAAGCTAACCTGAAAGACAAAAGCTCACAGACACATTCCTCCATCATGTAGACATGCCCCCAGACTGCAGTGTCCATTTCTGCTCTACTTCAGCCAGATAAGTTTGAAGTAGTACTTGTTGCAGCAACCCTGGAGACATTTTAGGGCTTGTAAAAAGTTGTACTTCTTAATTATACTGGTATAATTAAAACTATACAACCACCTTAAGCCGGGTCTACACTAGAAACTTTTGCTATTATAGCAATATCAGTTTGGGGTACCATATGAATTTTCGGTTTTGTTTTGTGGTGAGATTTTTTTTATATACAAACAAAAGCCCAAAGGTAGAAACATTTATAATGACATGAAAGTGCTTTTGCCTGTATAGCTTATTTTGTCCAGTACTTTTTTGCAGGTGTAAACTGCACCTACAGTAGGAGAGTTTGCTGTTATAACAGTATAATTAAGCAACAAAGAGTCCTGTGGCACCTTATAGACTAACAGACGTATTGGAGCATAAGCTTTTGTGGGTGAATACCCACTTCGTCAGATGCATGTGTATAATTAAGCAGTACAAACTTTTTCTAGTGTAGACTAGCCCTTAGTGAGGATGCAGATATAATGGCCCAAGTATGCTTTCTGCCTTGCAACTAGTCTTATACAAGAAAAGAAATAAGCTATACTAGTATAATGCACCTTTATACCTGTAATAATGTGTCCACGTTATGGGTTGTACTGGAATAACTATTTCAGTTAAAAAAAAAATCACACACCTGATATAATACTGATCCAAAAATCAATCATACCTGGAATCTTTCTCCTTCCCTGGAACCTAGAAAGACATTCTGGAATATGGAATATCTAATTGAGCCCTCCAAAGGGAGAATGCAGATTTCACAATGTAGAAAAGTTAGATGCTGCTGATCTATCAGAAGCCACACTGACAAATAATACTCTCAAATACCATCTCGCTAGGTGCTGAGTGACTGAATAACATCTTTTCCTTCTGTGCTGAAGAATTCGAGAAAAGCCAATTGCTATCACAGAGCCAATAAGAATAAAGGAACTTGCAGCAGATGGTACAAATGTGCATGTCTAATTACACCCTCCACCCACCTGTCAGATTTCTCAACTCTGGACATGGCTAGAGAGAGAGTCCAGCAAAGTATCTGAGTTGCAAAGAGGAAGAGATAAGAGGAAAGGAGAGGAGGGAGTGGGTGGGTAGGAGAAAAGGAGCGATTGGCTGATTCAAGTACTGAGCATGTCATGGAGGATTCTTATATTATTCCTGTCAGTGGAAGGAATCTCTCCCTCCACTGCCCCATTCCTCTTCCCTTCCCCTCCCAGCAAATATCTGTCACATATCTCCCTCCTCAAGAATCTGGATGTTTCTCACTACTACAGTGTATTTGCCACAACCAGCCTATCTGCTGAGCATGTCACATGGCACTGTTTAGACAGTAGATTTATACCAAGAAAGTCCACAGCAAAATTAAGAAGCCCATAGTATTCCCCTAGCTGTCCTATATATACACATAGTCTTCCTTTTAAACTCCTCCTTGGGTCTCATTAAGCTCACACTAGGCTAGCAAGTCTGCACAACTTGGAGAACAATTTCACGAAAAAGTGAGTTTGTTTGCCAATTTTCCCCTTGTTCTAAATGTAATTTGATTTGCAAACCCCCACCAGACCACAGACTGTTCTCAGTTCTTCCTCTCCACCCAGAGAGTTGTTTTTAATAAAGCAAAAGTTTTGAAACATTTCAAGTATTTTTTGACAATTTGCCACTTTCAGAACAACAACAACAACAACCAAAATGTAAGCACATATTTGCATATTTGTCCTGGTAGCCAGGAAACAGTTTTTGGATCATATCGCTTATTCTGAAGGACTGCAGCGTTATATATTCCATTACAACTCCAGTGCACTCAGTCACTTAGGAGGACCACATGCTGTTTAATTACTTCAATGCTAGCAGCAGCTTGAGCCTCTGTAACGGGGCTAGGGTTTGTTCCCTGCACGTTCCCAAGGGGGAGAACAGGATTTCTGAACAGAGTAGCGCGATGCCTGCTGGTTGTTTTGACTTATTAGAGGAGCCAGAAATGTTCACACAAGGCGGTGGCTCTACCATCAGCGCAAACGGGAGGGGTCAAGGGGCTCTGGGGCTTTGGCAAAGCAGCAGTAACATGCACTGCCCAATGATCCTGGCTGTGCAGTGCCGGGGAGTGGATGGAGCGCTGCTGCTACGCTTAGGAGCTCAGTGGATGTGGAGAGGGGGAACTCCCAGGTGAGCAGGAGACAGAGGCACCGGCGGGGAGAGTAACTTAGGGACCTGGCACAGAGCTACATCTTGAAGCTCCCGCAGAGCTGGAACTCCCATAGGATGGGGGGCCCGGTCCCCCCCGGCCCGCAGCACTGCTGACACTCCCGTCAATTGCGGAGAGCTGCTGCTCGCGCGGCTCCCTCCCGCAAGTCATCCCTCACTCGCTCTCTGCTCCCGGCAGACAGACTTACCCTCCTCTGCGAGGCCGGCGGGCGCCGCTGCTGCTGCTGTAGCTGCAGCTGGTTCGTACCGGGGGGATCTCGGAGCACCCGAGGGGAGGGACCAAAAGTTTCTGTGAAACTGACCAACTGCGCGAAGTGTTTGTCTAACCTGAAACCCAGGGGCGATGGCCCATCAATCATTGTTAATTACCAGGCCCTTGAGACCCCCTCCTTCCCCCGCAGGAGACGGCCGGGCTGCCCTGCTGTTGAACTATCTGGGGATAAAGCCTAGCTTCATTTCCACCTCGCTAGTTACACGTCTTTAGGGGGGAAAGGACTTGCAGACCCCAAAGGCGCGTTGCAGAGCCACTGAGACCTAACCAGAGATTGAACCATCTAGGCCATTTCCTACAGCAGAGCATTTTCCCCTCTCTTAGACCAGTGAGGGAAGGGGGGAGGGTAAAGGGAAAAACCTGGAAATATTTACTCTATAATAGGAACGAGGTGGGTCCCCAGCAGCCTGCCTGGACCCTCTGCCTGTAGCGCCCTCCACTCAAAAAGCAAGGGGAAAGCTGCACATATTGAAACAATGAAACAGTCTGTTTTATAACATTCTCCTGGAGAAGGAGAAAATCTGCATCATATTTCCTGGTTTAAAAAGAAGAAAGTTAAACAACCCCCCCGTCTCTCCTCTCCGCCCCCCGCCCCCAACCTTTCTCACAATGCCATGCAAAACTGCCTGGCTGTATTGGTTTTCCGAGGTTAGAAGCTTAGTCAGTTAAATCAAAGTCTACTTAAAAGTTCTGCTAAGGATTGATTTTATTATGTTTATTTGTTAATTTTCCACTGCTGACTGCAGAGATCCACGCTGCTGTTTGCTTTCCTTGCAGTAACTCATGACTGCAGCATTGGATGATTTTAACCTTATCAGAACTTCCACTTGGCATATTAATGTGAAAAGACAGACTGTTTGGAGAAATGCATGCTGCTATAAAGTAAAGACAAGGTTTAGGCAAAGAACAAAATCCTTATAGTGTCCCATCAAGAAAATGTCTTTGGTAGCCTTAAAAAGCAGGATAACCCAGCCACCCATTTCTCACTGCAAGCTAAAACCAGCTTTCCAGAGGCAGCCAGTGGAGGCTGGCTGTTGGCTCCACTGGTCAATTCATAGCCATTTCCTGTCTCCCCTTGGCCAAATCAATGTAATCTCTGTGGCCCTGATCCACAAAGGTACTTAAGTACCTAAATCCCCATTTTAGGCTCCACTGTGATCCACAAAACTCTCACCAAACCCTGTAGGTCCCTAAATTCACTTGGTGCTTAAGGTTTCAGGCTAAACGTTCCCTCTGCGCTTCCACCTCTCGGCATGCGCTCTGCTCCCTCGCTCTACGGGGACAGCTACACTGCATACTCCTTACGGGGAGGTGTAGAGTGCACACACGGCACGCCCCCCTCCTCCCCAAATATAAATAGCAGTTTGGACGGTGAGGCACTGCGTAGGTAAGTAGAGTGCAGACAAGCCCGAAAACCAGGGTATGTACCCTACAAACCCAAACAGGGATCCCCCCATCTACACTGCTATTTTTAGCAGCACAGTGTCCTACTGTTAACAAGGCTGCCAGAGCTTTTCCCCACTGCAGGAAAAGACTCCAGCAGCTCCCCACTGCCTGCCCCTATACACAATGAAAGAGTGATTGGAGAAGGGGACTGGACCCTAGATCTCCTGCTTCCCAGGTGGGTGGCCCTAACCATTGGACTACAGAGTCAGTCTCACTTTTGTGTAGCCTGATGGTTTGGGCATCCACATGGAAGCCGGGAGACTGTTGTTCTGGTCCCTCCTGCTCTAACAGTTCTTTCATTATTTAGTCACAGTGGAACTGTTTCAACGGGCAAGACGGAGGGAGCCCCACATCAGAATATGCCCGAGCTTGAGGGTTAGCACCCTTGCCTGAGCTCTGGGAGGCTCCTCTTCAAATACTTTCTTGTCTCAGGTAGAGGGGGGATTGCAGCTGGATCCACCACATCCCCGGTGAGTGATCTAAGGGCTGGATTTAAAGTTTTCAGGTGGGTGTGTCATGATCAGGGAAATGGAGTCAAAGGGCCCCTGTGGGAACTGGAGTTAAGCTGGAAGCAATTCAGCTAGGTAGACAGAACAACAGTGCACAGGCTTTAATAAAGTTCCACTTGTTCAACTTAACTTGTATTCCGCTTCACTCTGCAAATGAAATAGTGGTACCACCACCTCTTTCTCCAGCCCTTTTGGGGGGAGTGAGGCAGGTGCCTGATTCATTCCTGCAGGAAACTCTTAGGTGCCTGACTCCAGGAGTTGGTTCCCCAGTTGTGGATCACAGTGCAGAGATAGGCATCTATCTCTGAGGAGGTTAGCACACCCTCCTCTCAACAGCATCTCCCATTGGCTAGCTGAGGCAGCTCCCCGCCTAAGGTGCTGGGTTTTGTGGATCCCATTCTAAGCCACCTGTGTCTCCCCAGTGGTTGTACAGGAAGCCTAGGTGCCTCACGCAGCCTTTGTGGCTCTCAGTGTTGTTCCTGTGATTCTCTAAGTGCTGCAAGGCTGAGCACTCCAATGCTTAAATCCCTGTTTGGATCTGGGCCTCTGGGCTTACTCACAGGGGTGTTAATACCTGTGAGGTGCTCTAGTGATAGGCACCCTAGAAAAACCTGCTCTTTCAGACCATAAAGGTCCTGCTGGTGTTAGCCACCATGGAGGTGATGGGCAGAACGAAGCCATAGAATGAGTCTGCTTTCCAGTGTAATGATCATAGAATAGAATTTCAGGGTTAGAAGGGACCTCAGGAGGTCATCTAGTCCAACCCCCTAACAGATTTTTGCCCCAGATCCCTAAATGGCCCCTTCAAGGATTGAACTTACAACCCTGGGTTTAGCAGGCTAATGCACAAACCACTGAGCTAGCCCTCCCCACAACAATCTGATCCAAGCATCTGATCAGACCACCAGGCAGTTAGGCCATGCTCCTACTATCCGGATTGTACAAACTACAGGCCAGACAAATTCCTTCTAATCGAGTTTTCAAGTGCTCAGCACCCCCACTTGGGATGAGCTTTTCAAAATGGTCTGTTCTCATTTAGGCACCTACCTAAGAGCCAGATTTTCAATGTGTTCTGTGCCCTGCAACTCCCACGTTGACACTTACAGTCAGAACAGCTCATCATGCAACATGCTGGGTTCTTCAAAATCTGCCCACTTAACTTGGTGTCTAACTGGGAGCAGAGCTCTTTTGAACAATCTGGCCGTAACTGAATGGGAAATGTGTATACAACTATAAAAGTATAAGAGTTTCCATCTTTGAATAATAAGAACATAAGAACAGCCCTACTGGTCAGACCAAAGGTCCATCTAGCCCAGTATCCTGTCTTCTGACAGTGGCCAGTGCCAGGTGCCCCAGAGGGAATGAACAGAACAGGTTATCATCAAGTGATCCATCCCCTGTCACCCATTCCCAGCTTCTGGCAAACAGAATAATGCCTGTCTCTGACAAGCCAATGGGAGAGGAAGGCATTTAACTGCCTTTTTGTGCAATATTCCCTGCCCCCAGGATGCTTTCTGACTCTGCTTGGTAATCACTTTATACCCTTGAGGCTTGAGTAATTATATGAAATGATTGTGTAACTTTAAAAAAAAAATTACTGTTGAGGTTGTGAGGAAACAATCAAGCCCCCTTCCCTTTCCTTCCCAAACTGATCTTTTCTTAGGTGAAAAGGACAGAGCTTAGAAAAGAGCAGGGGAATTGTTGGCCTCAGGACTCAGATTGCTTTCTAGCTACAAAGTGATATGCCTCAAGCACTTGAGGAGTGAACGCAGCATTTATGTTATCGCCAATCCCTGGTTTACATACATCATTAAATGTCAAGTGCTGTCAACCAATTACAAAACTAGTTGCTTGGGCACACAAAAGAGAGGCAATGGTATAAGCCTAGCAGAAAGAGACCAGAACAAAATTAAATGCAGTGAAGTCCAAGAAAGCACAAGATGTAACTGGGGATTTTATCATAGGATAGCATCTTGCTAATAGTGGGCCCAGTGCTGAAGTCCTTTGTTCAGCCCAAACTCTTACTTACTTCTTTGGGAGATTTGCCTGGACTAAGTCAAGTCTGAATAAATAGTTCAGGATTGAGTGCAATGGAAAGATGACTGGAGCTAGTGCTAAGGACTCGATCCTGCTCCCTTTAAAATCAATGGCCAGATTCCCATTGACCAATTAGTTCCTGAGCAGGGACAGATGTCTTGTTCCGAAGACCGCAGGCTCAGGCCCAATGCTGTAATTCAATAGCAGCAGGCACAGTAACTGATAAATATATGTTTCAAAGTATAGTAATTCAAACTAATGATGTCACTGTTCTCATATGCTACAGTCACGTGCTGCTGTTAATAACATAGAAGTATTCTCTGTATGTAAGTTACTGACGCTTGTTTTGATGCTGGTATTCAGGTGTTAACCTACACTATGCACACTTTAGTTAACTTAAACTAAGAATAGTGCTTTCTAGGCAGAATTTGCTTATCTGGTTTGTAATATTTTGGTGTATTTGTTGCTCTTAGAGAAGACAGATAGACCCCCATCCACCATCCCTCAGTGCTGGATCACAGCACCCTCTTCGTTCCAGTACTGAGCCAAGCTCATCAGGAAAATGATTTGTTTGTATTTAATTATGTATAAATGACCCACCCACTGGGAAGGGGGGGAGAGTCATCTCACCTAACCACCAAAATAATTTTACTTCTGATCTAAACAGAGCTTGGACCATGATTTCCAGAGATCAGAGACCGTTGCTTGAGTGTAACTCATTCTGTTATTGGTTTGTATTATGGTAGCAGCTGGAGACCCCAGCCAAAACCATGGCACCTGCATGCTGGGTAATCTACAAAGACATAGAAGGCAACAGTCCTGCTCTGAAGAATTTAGGGCTTGTATAAACAGGGAAATTTACTGATAACTCATAAAATAAACTGAATTAAGGCCACTTTAATTCTAAATGAGAGCATCCACACAGGAGTTTATTGCACTTTATCTAATCAATTTTAAATTCACACCTTTAGTTAATTCAGATTAAATTTTCCTGGGTGTCCCTGTGTAGACAACCCCTTTGAGTCTAAAGAGAGAAAAGACAGGACCAAAACAGAGGCCTTGAAATGCCTTGCC